GGGGTGACCTTAATTGTTGCCTTCTGGAGAGCTGGAGAGGGACTTGGGACAAGGGATGGAGTGACAAGACAAGGGGCATGGCTTCACTCTGCCAGAGGGAGGATTAGCTGGGAATTTGGGAAGGAATTCTTCGCTGTGAGGTGCCCAGAGAAACTCGACGCTCCCCTGGCAACATTCAAGGCCAGGCTGGGACAGTGGGACCGGATGATCTCTAATGTCCCTTCCAACCCAAACCATCCCACGATTCTGTGAAGACAACGAATATGGCAGAGACGAACAGGAATATTTCGGCGCTGTTAAATTCCCGTCGGCCCTGCCAGCGATTTCCCACCGGGATTTGTTCGCTATGGCTCCATTGCGGGCGCTGGCGGCGGGCTGAGGCACCGCCCGGTTCTATGGTGTAATGGTTAGCACTCTGGACTTTGAATCCAGCGATCCGAGTTCAAATCTCGGTAGAACCTGCCCCAGTTTCTGTTTTCGTGCCTCGCTGGAGCTCCAGCCCAGCTCCACAGGGTGTCCCCGACCTTCTCCAATGCAACGAAACCCACAAAACGCTTTCTATTATAACTAAGAATTTCGTTATATTTTGCTGCTGGTTTTATATTAAGTACTTCTTGGGGGAGGTATTCACACTGTGGAAAATTTCATCAGGCAGATGTACAGAATTCAGATATTATTTTTGCACCCAACTACTCACTTAGGAAATAAAGGCAGAAATGCAGTGTTTTGGGGTAAACTGCACAATTTAAATAAATATTCTCTCTGCTTCGCTGACACAAACCCTCAGTAGTTATCAATCATTTCCAGAGCAGCTAAGGACATCTTCCACCTTGGCTCCCCTCCTCCAAACCTGTCCTACGAGTCACTTGTTTACACAGCAACAGGAACAAGCCTGCTCTGTTCAACAGCTCCTCCTCTGGCCAGGTAACCCTGCCCTGCTGGCCCTTGAAAAAAACACAGAACACCTTCAAATCCAGTTATTATTTAGTAGAAATCCAGGACCCAGCTGCTCAGGAGAACATATGAAAATGTTTGCTCAATTCATTAAATTTTCACACAACTTAATGATGAAAAAAATCCCTTGCCTGTGTCAGGGCTGATTTTCATCTTTTCCTCAACTGTTGGATCAGGTCACACACACAAAAAAAGGTTTTTTTCCTGTGCTTTTACGTTTCTCTATCCACTCAGCTCAGCACAGCCAGCCACTCTCAAGTGCTGGTTTCACACATCATCATTCTCCCCAGCACAAGAGCTTTAAGGCCACAGGGCTTTGCTGCCTTGCCAGGAATCAATATATTAACTGACAATTCTAGAGAGCAAATCACCATTTCCTGCAGCAATCTGGCAACTTCCTCCTTCCATTTCAGAGAGTTCAAGGAGCTGAAATCCAGAAGTCCCCTAAAATACTGATACAGTATTGGTGCCCCAGATAAACCCCCTGGGTGAAACCAGGTGTACTTAACGAGTTAAACTTTTACATGGGATGAGACAGAACCAGTGCAGAATTGAGTACTGTGATTTATTCACAATTCATGGTCATGCTGCACTGGAAAACAAAGCACCAAAATTTTCTAAAAGTCCTCTTAGCACAAAATTCAAGGGGGAGGTAAAGCACTATGGCTGTGGCCATGTCAGGAGATTTTCCTGTTGCTGAAGAGGCAGTAGCAATAGAAATTATTAGGGAATCAGAATTAAATAGTGCTGTAATTCCAAAAGTGTGGCTAAAAACACATATTGTCAACATTAATGGACTTTCCAATGCAGATTCAAAAGCCAGCATCAAACTTAGGTAAGTATTTCACTACATATGAAGTTGCAACAAGGTTTTCTGATATATGCTAAAATTTCAAAGCAGGTGAAGGGGGAAAGATTAAAAGCAAAGTTCTATCCTGTAAAACTGGCACTTTGAAGAAAAGGCCTTTAAAAAACTAAAACATTTTATTCCAGAAATTCTTCTAAAAGAAAAGCTGACAAAAAACCCCAAAAAACCAGCAAAAAGACAAGTCTCAGTTACTTAGGTCACTAATGATAAAAATTCTGTGTAGCCACTTGTCATGATTTTGCATTTAGGGAAGTGATGGAAAGGTTTGTTATGCAAAACCACAACACCACTACATGCTCAGTTAGATGCCTTGTCTTTAAAAAAGAATTCTGCAGCAGACAAATCATCAACAGCTTTGCACTGTGACTACCTCAGTAGGTGAAAACCCTTGAGCAGATGGAAGAAACAAGTTATTTTGAACTCTGAACCACCAATTTCCCTTGCAGTTGGAGCAGAGCAGACTGATCTCACCCACTGCCCAGCCCCTTCCAGCTCCCCCGGCAGCACAGGGAGTGCAGCAGGCAAGCACTGGCCAAAGTGCCACCAAAACAGTTCAGGGCTCTGCTTCCAGAACAGCAAGGCAGCTCTTTTGTAGTTTACTGAGGATTTCCTCAGAAAACAAAACTGGTTTTGTACCATTTCACCCAGTACACGCACATAAAAAAAATAAGCACACTGTACCAGGAGCAGCAGAGATATAATTTAAACATGCATCCAGCTAGAAACCATATATACAGAGAAACAGGCCTATACAAACAGAACAGGACCACTTTATTACATTACAATTCTGGTGGAGCTTTTGGAGGAAATCACGGCAGATAAAGCAAATCAGACCGAAGGAGGTGGATGTTGCTTCTGAAAGTGATCTGTTTTGAAATGCCACACAACACCCCCACCTTTCTCCAGCACACATCTATTACAGATCCAGCTGCACACAGCTCTTCCCACGACTCCTGGACTCCCTTCCTGTACAGAGGTAGATTTCTGTCGATGTTCTGATATTGCACCACGTTAAGTATGATTCTTATCACGTTAAGTATGATTCTTATCACAAGGAACAACTTGCAAAGGCTAATTTATATAATTCATGGGCATAATCTCATTGTGGGCATTTAGGTAGTGCAGTAAGTAAATTCATTTGCACTTGAAAGAAAACCTCCAAGTGCAATGGTTTGTTATTTAGGTGGAGGTCCACTGGAAAGCTGCAGTTTTTTAACAGCTTCACATTAAGAGAGCTGTTTCTTGTCAGCAGGGTGACACCTCACTGTCTCTCTCCTTTTCAGCCTCCCTGACCTAGCCAGTGCCAGGTCTTGCCCTGCCTCCCTTGATGCTTCATCCCATTCCACTGTGTCCAGGTTAAATGTGCATTTTAAACACTGACAGGTTTTTGCAGGATTTCTTACTCATACAAGCAGTTGTAATATTGAAGAAATTTGCAAGAAGATTGATTGAAACTGCATGAAATTATTAAAAAAGCCCATCCACACTCAGGCTGCATAAGGAAAGCTAGAACTTTGCTAGCTTCAAACAGCCATTAACTGTGAACAGATCTGATGCTATCAGGAAAATCTGAAGAATTCTGGCAGGAGTCTTAATTTCTTTTGTCCATCACATTCTTGAGTAACTCTGTGACAACTGGGGAAGCTGCAGACAAGCTGCACAGCAGTACCACTTTACAATGTCTGTTAAGGAACTTCTATGGCATATTTATAAAAATAACTGCATCAAAAATCACGATGCCAGCATATTGTAACTCTGATGAGCTCACAAGCATTGCTCAGTATTTTTTCTCAGAGGCACCCCAGGAAGTTATTTTTTGCAGAAGTCTTTCAACATGGAGATAAATGAAAGAAAAATCTGGGCATGTTCCACTCTCAGAGCGAAGCCAAAGCAAGCAGCACCACTACTCCTGGCTGCAAGCTTGTCAGAAAACTCACATGGGAAGACAGTTCTCTTTTTGTACCAACCAATCTATTTGGAACTATTTTAAATGAACCATTTAGCATTAACTTCCCAGATTCAGTTTCTGTGAAGCATTCTGTGACACAACATCAGTAAGAAATAGTGGCTAGTTTAGAACTGAGTATTTTTTGTTGAATTATGGATACAAGGTTTGTAGAAATTCATTACATCTCTCCACATATTCACTTGTCCTCTAAAAGGGCCAAGGTAATTAAATCCCAAGTTACTTCACACCAACTGCATCAATACTGAAATTCCTGTTGACTGTTTTCCTGTGATGATAGGACTGCAGACCTAGAAGTAAAATCATCTCACCCTCCTGGAGGAGCCCATTTTGTGCAGTGAACCCTTCACTTCAGGGAGTAACTTGATGAGGAATTACACTCCCTGTCCCTGGCAGAAAGGACTTATGTACCTTGCAAGATCAGGCTTTAGAATGAAGAACTCCGTTGTATGAGGGAAATGACAAATAGTAGAAGTGAAATGACAGCGGCAGGAACCAGGGCTTTTGGAGACTTGTCTGGTTTTACTAAGCAATGGTTCTTCCCAAAACCATCTCCAGCTGGGCAGAGCCTCGCTGGGTGCACAGAGGGCAGCCCAGCTCTGCAGTTACCATTTGATGTCCAAGCTGCTGGTGCTTTGATTCACTGCACTGTACGTGGTGTGCAAAGTGTCCTGGACCTTCCTGGAGTCCATGCCCTCCAGCCAGTCCTGGTACATCCTCTGCACGTGCAGGTTGGCTTCTGGCAGCCTGACAGGAATTGCAGTGTACACCTCTTCCATCTGGGCAAGCAGGGCTTTGTCTGGTTTGCCATCCTCAGTCTGGGCCTGGCCCTTTCCATTGAGGCACCCTTAGGAAAAAAAAAAATTAAAAAGGTGGAAGGTGATGGAGATTTGATATGAAAATAAAGTCTCTGTTAACTCAGAATTCTTTTTTCACACTTCTCTACAGGAAGTTTTTTTTAACTTCCTCCCACGCTGTTACAATTTGTATTTACCTAAAATGACTCCAATATCAACTTCATCTTAATGGAAAGGAGGTTTCCATATCACAAATCTTTCTCTGCATTCTCCACGGTTTTATGATCCTAATTATGTTCCTTGTCTTTTCTTGCCCTTGACAACTACCATTTCAGAGCATCCTCTGAGGTTTGGCATTGCAGTGCTGGCACTTATTTATAGGTCAGAAGAGAACAAATAACTAATGACTAAATTTAGAAAACTCAATCATTTTTTGAGCCAACTCTGCACCTGTAATTGGTGTTCTGGACCCTTAATGAACAGTGAGATTTTAGATTATTAAGAAGAGAATTAAGAGGGAATGAAATGAAGTGCCTGCCTTTAAGGCAGCTTTCCTTTGAGATTCAAGATACATGTGCAGAACAACTGCAGATCCACAATTATTTTTACCTCCTGGGCAGGCAAGGACTTCTACAAAATGGTAGGAAAACTTCCCTTTTTTCAACTTCAGGACCATGTTTTGGATATTTCTGAAGCCATAAGCTGCTGCAAAACGCAGCACTGTCTCCCCATCCTTTTCAAGGGTAACTTCTTGAAAGTCCTTGTTCCTGTCAAGACACAGAGAGAACATTTTAATCCCCTGCATTCCCAGAGGAACAATCCAACTGTGCCAGTTTGTGTTCAGATGCTCCAAAGGGAGCAGAACAAGTGAGATCAAGGTGAACTCTTCCACTTTCTAAAGTGAGTTAAGCAGAAGTTGGGGTGGAATCTTTGTAATAGAATTCTACTTAATTTCTAAGTGCAGGTAAGGTTTTAATTAAATTATTACCAGCAGGAGCTGCTGCACAGTGAGAGACTTGCAGGTTCAGAGCAGGTTTATAGCCTGCAGCAGCCAAACACCAGGTTAGCAGTAACTGCTTTCACTGCAGGGGAAGTTCCTGGCCTGCAGGAACGAGTTCCTTGCCAAGAGGGTGGCCAAGTGTCTAAGGGACATTTGGAAATACCAACTGGAAATACATTCTTCTGTTCTAGCTCATCCATTCTATGTAAAAGGATACAAAACTCTAACTTACTTTAGTGCTTTGTAGGTTATCTCCTTGACATCCACACCAAAAAGCTCCTTTGCAGCGTGTTTAAAAATGTGCTCCAGGTAACCATCAGATCTCTTCCCGTCATGCCTTACTACATCTCCCTCCTTTAAGCCATCAAACCTTAGGGAACAACAAAATGGAAGATCAACTCCAAAAATTTCATTCTTTCACTTCAATAAAGTAGTGTGTTTCTTCTCTTCTGTCTCCCCCACCAAAAAGTGTTTTGTGGCACTGAGAACGCATTACACTTTTATTTATTACAGCTTAAAAATGTAAATTATTCAGGACAGCAGTGAGATGATGAAAAAAAGCATTTAAAAGAAAAGATGCAGGGCCCTCCATGTTGAGAAATATCAAGCAACAGTAATTTATAAGAATGCACCTTCATCACAATCTGATGATTTTGTTAACAACCTTTTACTGCTCAAGAGCCATTTTGGTGAAAAATTATTTAAATAAATGGTCATTTTTTGCTTGTGAGAATACAAAACTACTTCAGAAGTTACAAGTCTTTGCTGACAGTTCTCCTGCTTTAGGAACTGTTTGTCACAGTCTGTAACACTGTGCCAATAAAATCACACCGAATTAGTAGAGCTACAACCAGGTTAGAACAGTATACACTGAAAATAAGTGCTACACTGTGGTTCAGGAGAGAAAATGGGAGATCCTATCCCAAGGGCATCTCCTGGAAGTTCAACTCTCCCCTAGTTAAAAGCAGCTCTGAAGGGCTCACATTCATACAACTGTTTTAATACCCAGCACTTTATCACAAATTGCTGCCGTGCTGGGGCTTGTTTTAAGGGGATGACTTTAAGTTGTTTAAATTTCTCTGCAAGATCTACTTTTAATACCCCAGAAGAGCAAATATTTACATCATTAGGTCTCACAGCTGAACCAGTATTATAAGATTAGCCCTTTAAAAAACTACATTATTTTCCAACATAAATTGAGGGCATTTGGCTCTTTCAGTCTGGAGGAGACAGAGGTCAGACACCACCAGGACCTGCAGCTGCTCCTGAGGGACAGCTCTGATCTCTGCTCTGTGACAGTGACAGAACCCATGGAATGGCTGGAGCTGTGCCAGGAGAGGTCTGGGCTGGATTTTGGGAAAGGTTCTTCCCCCTGAGGGTGCTGGCACTGCCCAGGCTCCCCAGGATGCCCAGGTGGGATTTTTGGAGGGTCTGAGCAGGGAGAGGGACTGGACAGGGAGATCCTTGTGGGTCTTTCCAGCTCAGGCTTTCTGTGATTCTATAAATTGAGCCAATGAACCAGCACATTCTGAGTAACAGCTTGTCCTTTCATTGCACAGGCTGATAGAGAACTAAAATCCTGTCTCTATGTGATCCTGACACAGAATTACACGACTGTCTCTGATTATTCCTGCAAGAACTTTATTCATTCTCATTCTGTGTGACAATCTCAGGTAGAAGCAATCAAAGAGCTGATACAAACAAGCAAACACAAACACAGCTCTGAACACGTTCCCACTGACCCACTCAAATTTCTCCCCTCTAGGTCCAAGCAGGATTCCAGCTGGAACTGGAAGGGATTTTTCAAAACTTCCAGAGCTTTCTGTTTTGTGCAAGACAGCACGTTTATTGCTCCACTAGCAGCCCCTTGGAAAGATACCAAGGAACATCTGTCACAGCTGAACAAAGATCAGGGAGAGCAGCCTCTGTAACTAAGTCTGAGAATTAAACACCACACACACGCTGCTCCCTGAGCAGAAGGGATGGAAACAAAACCTCTCCAATGCTTTGTGTGCTTCTCATCCAAAGCACAGTCCAGTTGGATCTAATCCTGAAAAACTGACTGCTGTCCTCAGTATAGAAACCAATTAATTACCATTTCCTGAAAGGGTGCTGCTTCTAGCAATCTCCATGAACATATTGGGGAGTGAGAATTTACTGCCAGGATGCTGCTGTGAGAGAGGGGAGCCCAGAGCAGATGGTCAGCCCCAGGACTGTGTGCCAGCAGCTTTTTGGGAGGCAGCTGGACACAGATCAGGCTGCTGGGCTCTCCCCAAGGAGCACAGGAGAGCTCTGAACAGGGCCAGCAGCAGCCCCAGACAGCCACACTTCCTAGCAGGCTTGAACTTCATACACTCACATCTATTATTAGTGTAAATAATCAATATTTATCAATAAATAATAGATAATCCTTAAATATCAATCAGGAGCTACACAAATCTTCAAGTCATAAATGTCAGAAGAGCTACAGTATAAGGCTCATTACCTCAAGTTATCTGCTTTGTATTTAGACAGTACATGTATTTTTATATTATCTCTTTTATATATAGCAAGAACATCTAAGAGAATATTTTTGTGGGTTTGGCCACTATATAAGGGCGAAGCTGTGGTATACTCAGGCTTTGATGCATGTTTTTTTCTCTAAAAAGAAAAAAACATTCTTCTGAGCTGTTTTATATTTATGTCATGTGGGAAATGGATTTATAGAAAATTCTCAAAGGTTGACAGAAAACTCACATAGTGTACATCTGTATGCAAGCATTAAAAACCCTAAGAAATACTGACTTAAAAATACTATAGAATAAACCAGACATTGTTAAGAGAGAAACTAAACTAAAAACAAGTTTCAAAAGATGACCTTACAAATAAGACTAGATACTTTAGGGAAATAAAACTATATAAAATGCATTGTAGTAAGACCCATGATTGACTTTAAGACATTGACTTTACAACATAGAGTAGCTAAAACTGGTAAACCAAGAAACACTTACAATGTATTGTAATTAAGCAATAGTTGGCTTCTGATTGTGATAGCATGAATTGCAACACTTGCATTGTCTCACCCTTCAAATGAGACTGAAAATAGAATAAAAGTTTTTAAAACATCTTACCCCATCTCTAAGTCACAAAAGAGCTTTATCCAACAATGTTGAATATGCTGCAACATGATGTGTGTCATTAAAATAAAAAAGCAATCCACAGCAAAACTACTTACAAACTATCTACAGCTACTTCAGCCACATCTTTCATCGACACATTTTTCTGTTCCATTATTTGGACAATTTCACCTGTAGGAAAACACAACATTTTACTTTCAACACAAAGCACAGCACACACAGTGCCTCTGTCTCAGAGATCAACACCCCAACACCTGCATTGCTTTGTGTCACATTCTCCAGCTCCTCTGCAGTGACTGAGGAGCCTGGCAATTCCTGTCCCAAAGAAAAGGGACCTTCAGCTTGCCCAGACTCTGCTTAGAGCCTCAGCCTTTCTGTTAGGCCAAGCTTGGAAATACCCAAACTACACTGCAGGATGTCTGGATGCTAAGGCTAAAGACAAGATCCTCACCAAAAGGCAACTGGTGCCATGAATTAGGAAAAATTCTTAATAAAATAATAACCATAGACAAGCCAGACAAATGTTTTAAATATGGATTTGCATAACTTTTACATTCTTTAACAGGCTGTCAAAATACCTGATTTTTTAGATGAATAGAAACTTAGAAGGAAAGGGACACATCACTCTGCCTTCCCTGTGCACTACCAGGAGCACAAAAATGTGTACTAATTTTAATTAAAAATTTAAACATTTTTATTTTTTTGGCAGAAAATGTACTTTCTGCCATAGCACATTTGGCAGAAAAAAGTCAACCTTATGACTAAAGCAGACTTGAAAAAAGCAAACTCTGGCATAAAGACTATTCTAAAAATGGTGATTCACTTATATATTCATAGATGATAAGTTTAAAAAAGTTAACCTGATGTCAGGACACAATCAACTTCTGCTGAATTATACAAGGCAGTGTAGAAATCTTCCCTCAAGGCTTCCAGCTTTTTGTCATAACAAGGTGCAATGACTACATGGAAAATTTTATCAGGAGACAAATTCTGTGGAATACAGAAGGGAACACATGTGAATTCCATGAAGAGCAAAAAGACAGCTTAAAGGATGACAGGGACAAAAATAGTGACATAAATCTCAGGACTAAGTCCCTACCCATTACATTTAAAGAATTTTCACACTGATAATGATTTGCCAGATGTCAGAAAGCATCAGCAAACTTCCAAAGTCAGTCTCTGGCTGGACCAAATTCCCTCAGACCATGTTTCCTGCAGCTTTTTGATTGCCTTATAAAGTGAATTCAAGGCAGGAGTTCAGAGTTCTGGTTTCTGGCTGTCACTCACTCACTTTCACCCAGAGCAAGCCCTTCAGGATTTGTCTATCCACGTGCAGACACCAATCCTTCCCTACAGAATGTTCCTGTACTTCCTTTTATGTGTGATAGATAAAGAAGAGCAGTTTTTTTCAACATACAAAACTGAGGATAAAAAGGTTAGCTCCAAGAATACAGTGCTTTTATTGAGCTCATCTAACAGGGCAATTTCCACATTTTTCTCCTCCACTCCTGTTTTGGCTGTGTTGTAGAACTACACAGGCAGCATTTCACAAAAAAGAAACCCTTTAACTGCTATGGATTTAAATTGATCCATAAATATTTAAATCCATGTTGCACTGGAGGTGCAAGGACTGCAGCCAGCTCACACTGCACTGTGTGAAATTAGGTTCTTTGTACATTCTTCTCATCATGGGCACTTTACAGCACAGAGCACCATTTCTTCTTCAAGTCAAGGACAAATGTAATATACTAAGATCTGTATCTCAGTATTAAAGCCCATTTAATAGAATATAATGGCAAAAATAAATCAGAATTACTTACCTGCTGCCTGGCAAAGTATCCCTTCACTAGGGAGCCCATGATCTGCTGTGGAGACTTTGCAGTGCAAATGTGGGAGGTCACCAGGTTGGTGAGAACCCTTTCAGCATATCGGATCCAACCTGGAAGCACAAGAAATGACAGGTAGAGAAGTGACCCACAGGCACAGCAAGTGCCTAAAAATGATGACACACATCCTAAAAATGATGACACCTTTACAACAGGGAGAACCTTTCTATGTTGGCTGGAAGCCCCACCTTGGAATCATAGGAAACCTCAGGGCTCTGTTAATAATGCTTTAGTCAATAATTCACTGTGCCATGAATTCTAGACCAAGGTCCACTGTGAATTTCCTGACCTGTTACCCTTCCTCATGCACAGATTTAACAAAGCAGAAAGAACAAGACCCCAGCTGACAGAAATTTGACCTTCTAGACCTCAGCCCTTGGATCACCACATACTGCAACAAATGCACTGTTTGGCTGCTTAACTGTAACCTGTTGTTTCCTGAGATTTAATATCCCTGCACCCAGCCTGCCTCCCCTAGAACAGAAGAGCCAATGAAAGCATTATTACAAGATGCACATGGATTAAGCTTAGGAAAAAATGGCTTATTTTACTATTGTTAGGGTAGCCACACCTTCAGCCAGCCATTTTCTGGCTTGTGTTGTCATCAAAGAGCAAGAAAGCATTAAAATGACCATATAAACTCCTGCAGTTGTAACTCAGAACATGTTATTTTTGGTGGTTTCTTGTGTGATCATGAAGATGCATGTATGCATCTGCAGGAAGTGCAAAAAATCTAAGCAAGCTTTTGCTCCTGTAAAACCCCATTCCTGGAAAAGGAAATTGATGGACTGGGACAAAAGCATTAGAATCCTAAATACTTATGATCTTCCTGCTGCTGCTGCAAGTCTGCCCCATCTGAGATGACACAGAGGTTGGCAGTGCCTTAAAAACATCAGATTTTCCAGAGCAAGTGCTTCATGTTGCTCACCAGCTTAGTACATTAAGGAAAGAAATGGATTCTTTTGAGATATTACATATACTATCAGTAGTAACACTACTGTTCTTTCAACAGGAAAAACCAAAAATGAGCTCAGTTTCTCCCCAGAGAGCAGCAGGAGGTGAAAAATTAAAATAGGGACAAGAGAAGAGCTTTTCTCAGGTTCTGGACTATGCAGGCTCTGCTCTTTGCTCATGGTGGATGTCATGCACCAGCCTGCTGCAGAGGGTGATAGGACTGTGCAAAGTCACACACCAAGATAAAAAAGAATAAATATATATAAATATATGTGTAAATATGTAAAGAGTAAATACTTGAGTTTGCATTGACCTTGCATCTACAGAGCAATATAAAACCCATTTTGTGCTAAACACCCAATAAACAACACCTCGGGGACACATTTCTGTAATTTGGGAGTAGAAAGAGGAAGGGGAAAAATGAACAGAAAATGCACACAGACAAATAAGGACAGAAACACAGTGAACAATCTCACTTGTAAGATGACTAATGAGGATTTTTGCTTTCTCTAATTGCTGACAAAGAAACATACCATGTTTTCAAAATGGATTTACAGTGATATTCTGGGTTAGTTTCCCAGAAATGGAAAGCACACATGCTTCTGTTGCCATCTCTATCACAATAGAGAGCTGACACCAAAACCAGCACTGAAACCAAAAATCTTGTGCAGACCACACAAGGACCACGAAAGTGCTCCAATAACTATTTTAAAGTATTTCCACTGAGAGCAGCAGATAATCTGAGCTCTGTTTCCAGATGAAGCAAATTAAAATTACCTCAGAAATTCTAAAAGAAATCCTCAGGTTTTGAATTTTACCTAAAGCACATACAAGACAACAAAACTAAGTAATGGAGGTGTTTTGCTGCATAGGTTTTACATTAAAAAAACCAATATATTATATGTCTGCTCCTGGAGATAAGAGGTTACACTAAGATAACAGTAACAGAAAAAAAGAGACCTGTTTTTAATACATCTATGTAGTAGTTAAAGCATAACCCAGATATTTCCAGTACACAACACACAGAACAAACAAAAATACAAGTATAATTCAAACAGCAGTATTTAAAATTCAAATCAATGACAACAGCAGATTCTGGAGATCACTGACTGCAACTCATCATCACTCTAACATTTCTTTAGTAAATGCAATCCACTTGAGTTATTTCAAAGCTAGCAAGAAGTATTTTGGTATTTTTATCAGCCTTTTGAAAAGCAACACTATGAACGTTAGGGTGGAGTTGATGAGGGTGTTAGGCAAAGGAATTACTTCTACCTCCTTTTTGATACTTTTTTAGGAATGTGACTTTTTACTTGGAATTGAAATGGTGCTGTGCTAACAATGGAAAATTGAGCAGTGGCTGCATGTTCTGCATCTTTTCAGCTGGTACAAGTGCAGGTTCTGCTCATAACAGAACATGTTCTCAGGAGTGAGCCATTCAGTGAGTCAAGTCTGTGACATTTCATGTGAGAATTACTTCCCAAGTGTCAGACATAATCCATCTCACAGTCATCACAAGGAATGTCACTTGCTACTTTCCCCTAGGCTTAAGTGGCAAGTTCTAAACTTTGCTTAAGGTAACAGAGATTGTGGTTTAATTCTATCAAAGTTTCTTTAAGATTCTTTTCAATGAGAGTTTAACTCCCTGTTAAACTTTGAGGTCTGAACACACAAGAAGCACCCACTAAACTCCTCCATTCCAGTCTGATTCTCAATTCCAAGCACTGACATGCACTCAGGATAAGCAGTGATACTGGGAACAAATACTGCGTGCTTGGTGTCCCTCAAAAGCAAATTAAAAATGTTCTGAGTTATGTAAGGCTCCCAGAGAAAGCCACCCTTTCCTCAGCTCCTTGGTGGCTCCAGTGAGACTGGTTTGGAGGGCAGGAAGGATGGATAAATCAGTTCTCACCAGGGCAAGCAGAGGCAAACATTGGTAAGGCATGTTCCTCCTGGTTCCTCCGCTGGTACCGCTGCACAAATTCCCTCTGGCTCTCCAGGATACTGAAATCTGCAGCTATAGTGGTGTCAAAAACATAATGCACCCCTAGGGAAGCAAGCAGAAACATCACCACAATGTTTTCAACCTCCCAAACCCCTTTTCAAAGTTCCAGGCCTATGAAAAATCTTGAAGGATCAACAGGTATTTTCCTTCCCCTCTGCAAATTTTCACAAACAGCAAGAAATAAAAGCCATACACTGGAAAATCATCTTGTACATCCAGAGTTTAAAGAGGCTAATGCTGCAAGGATCACTGCAAACACTCTCTGCCTTGTTTCTGAGCATCCATCACTTTTAGTTCAGTTGAACAGGATGCCACAACTCCTGGCTGACATGCAGGGACTCCTGCAAAGCAATGCTCTTTTCAAGACATGCTGAAGTCACAAAAAATCATATCCAGCTAAGAGGCATATCTGCCATTGCTCAGGCTGTTTGCAGAGGTACAGGAGCATATCACCAACACAGCAGAGACCTTCTGGCTGCTCATTTGGCAACACACTCCCTATTAAGCCTACGTAACACTGAGCACATCCCCACAGAAGTGAGGGTAGATAATGAATGCATTCTAGGAAATCTGGGGCCCACCAGAACTCAGGAATGCTTTGAGATGAATATACACTGGGTACAGGGACACATCAGAAAAAACATGAAAAAAAAATATATAGAGATATAGATGGTAGGAAACAGTTTATAGGTTTATTACAGTTCTTTTTCTTTAAGTAAATTTTAAAAATCCCAAACTTATAAGGAAAGTGGCGATTGCTTTTTAAATATAAACTTTGTATATAATGAGCAAAGGAAATACAGCTTTAACATAAAACAGGCAGATACAACAGTTCTTTTAATTTCAAATTACAGAAAAAAACCCAGAACTAAGAATCTTCTAGAGATACAATGTGTCAAAAGGACTGAAGGAATAAGAATTACCTTCTCCCTCAAGTTATAAAATAATGGGAAGCTTGTGCTAAGCCCTCCCCAGTTTCTTGGTAGCCAAGGTTTTGGAGGCAGCTCTACAATGTCCTTCTATTCTGTGACCTTTCCCGTGAGCAGGGAATGTCCCCAGTTTCTCACACTGCTCTATGTGGCACTGGTGCCTGGCTGCAACTTCACAGAGCGTGGAGTTCAAACCCTGAACGAGCTTGTGCAAGGGCACTTTAGGACTGCTTAACAAAATACCATGGAATGGAATCCCACCACTGGTTTTGCTTGGGAGGAACCTTAAAGTTCATCCAGTGCCACCCCCTGCCATGGGCAGAGCCACCTCCCACCGTCCCAGGCTGCTCCAAGCCTGTCCAACCTGGCCTTGGGCACTGCCAGGGATCCACGAGCAGCCCCAGCTGCTCTGGGCACCTGTGCCAGGGCCTCCCCACCCTCATTTCTTCCTATTATCTAATCTAACCCTGCCCTGTTTCCCTCCGTGCTGTCAAAAACCCTCCCCAGCTCTCCTGCAGCCCCTTCAGGTACTGGAAGGCTGCTGAGAAAGCAAAACCAACCAAAATGTTCCCTCCCTTTCTGCTTCACCACCATAACAAATGCAAACTTACCAAGACTTTTGAGGAAACCACAGAGTCTCTTGGCTGCTTCATTCACAGAGAAATTGAATTTAGCAGCAAAATAAGGCAATGACTGAGGGCATAGAGACACTGCCAATATTTTGTGTTTTGAGGTATCACATTTCTGGTAAGTGAAACAAAGGGGAAAAGAAAAAAAAGATTCTCATTACAACAGGGTAAGGCCCCTTGCTTTCCCTTCCTTTCCCATTCCTGGAGATATTCCTTGGAGTCTCATGCTTCAGTGGGCCACATCATTAAAAACCCTGTGAAACAACCCTCAAGCTGCAGCAGAACAGGATGTTCTCTGATCCTCACAGTGTTCATCTCCAGTCATCTGTAGATGTTTCTTTTATAGAACTCAGGGGAAATTCACCCCTCCTAGGACAATTCTGTGGTTGTTTTCTGTGTGGGGTTAAGTGAAGTTAAAGGACATTCTGATGTTCTAGTAGGATGAAATATTCTAGCAAATATGAAAAGAGCTGTATGTTTAAACATTTATAAAGAATGTTTACAGAAGCAGGGACGTTTTAAGCTATAAATACAACCCAGCAACTTACACACCTGATTTTTTTGTTAAAGCTCCTGTGTCTTTATCACTGCAGTTGTTGAGAGAAAGTGGCAAAATGGGACTCTCAACAAATCAGCATTTATAGGCACTGAGGAATCCTGTGAAAGTACCCAGTGTATGGTGTGGAACTGTGCAGCTCTAATGACTCTGACATTTAGCTGAAGATTAATCTTGTGTTTTAGCTGGGACATTTTCCATACCAGTGGAACCCTTGGAAGACAAAGCAGGACTGTGCTACAGGCAAGTGTCACCCTGCAAAGGTCAGAGCCCACAGTCTGTACTGATCCCCTTGCTGGACAATGACCCTTGAAGAAGAGCTCCTGACTGCCCTTTGCTTGTGTTTGGACCCCTGGAGCTGTGATGAAGGTATCTGACTGCCTTGCTGCTGTAGGATTCAGGCCCTCTTAACAGGACCCATGTGACCCAAAAAGATTATTTCCCCCCCTTCTCTTCTAATTTTCTCACGTATGACAACATCATTCTGTATGGACAGTTCAACTCCTTCTAAAAAATGTAAGTATTATGTAATTAATCCATATTTATGACACATATGTACAGATCAAGAAGTTTCAATTCTAGTAGCTCTTGCACAGAAGTCTGGAGCAGAACTAAAATGATTAATTTAGTATCAGGTTCTAAGGATCTGAGCACTACACAAAGCAACTAACTTCTAGAAAAAACAGAACTCAGCAGAAAATAAAACAGCAATAGAACACTTACAAGGTTTGCTAAGAATATGGACAAAATGTAGTTAGGTTGAATGTATATTTAAAAGAATGCTAATTTCACAAACATGTCTTTATAGGTTTGTATAATTTGGGTATATTAGCACCAAAACCACCCAGAACAGTCCTAGCAGTGAAGGTATATATGTATAAACACTAAACTACAGAATAATTTGTTAGTACAGTAATGAAATCATCACATTGCCAATAAATTCTCCTTCTGCAGGTGCAGTGACTTTCCACTGGTGTTTATGTTAAGTGTTGTGACCTTGCAACTTCAGTACAAAATAATTTTAAGTACTTTTAACATTTGTGTTGCCTGACTTCCTCTTTGCAATAAGCATAACCTGACAAATCCTCACATTATCCGCCTTGGGAAACCAAGCTGCTTAGGCATTCTGTAACTGCCTCCTCCTCACAGAAAACAGCGGGGTATTGTTTGGGTCACTTTACCTTATTAAGGTTGAGAATACGAAAGAACTCCTTCTGATTCTGCTGGAAAACTCTGGCTCCTTCTTCCAATGTCATGCAACTGTCACAAGCTAAGCAGTCGCTAAGGAGTATTTTAGCATTAGCCAGTGTATCAAACTCATTTTTCTGGTGGCAAAAAAAGAAGTAAACAAGAATTGAATACTGATCAAATGATTTTCAAGATCTCTGCAATGAGCCAGATGAAAAGCTAACACAGCATTCCTATTGGGTTTAAAGCAGGACAATCCTTGACACTTGCATAACGTCCAAGATTATTTGCAGGTAAACAAAATAATATGTTCCATCCCAATCATAGCTCTGCTCCTCCTATTACTGTGAAACTGCGAAACGTTGAAGTGTAAACAAAAATCTAAATTTAGCCCCTAGTCCATATGCTAGTAACTTAATTTGCACTGTGCTTCAGAGCTGACAGTCCCCATCAACTCACGGAGCAACTGAGAAAACTTTCCCTTGAACTATTAATGCTCTTTAACCAGATGTCCCTCTAATAGCAAGGTGGCTTAGGCTTTGTAGCACGAGGTAAAACAAAGGGAACACAGTTCTACAATTGCTCTAAACATATTCTCTTGAGATCAAGAGTTTCAGACTATCTGCAGCTCACCTGAGAAGAATGAATACTTGGATGTAAGGAATAAGTAGATATTTTGTCCACTTGTACTATCAAAACTCATCTTCTGACAAGCTCTCTGTTCTGGAGACTTGATATAAGTGTTTTAGCACTCCAGATTTTTAGAACTTAGAATTTCTGTTTTGTGTTTGCATACTAAGGGCTTTTATTGCACCTTTTTACAAGATTTTTGACTCACATATTAAGGGATGCATACAAGAGCTCATAATTGTTTTCAACTGCTTGTTGTTTATTGTTATACTTAATAGTTGAAAGTTGTCTCCTTTCAACCCATTTTGGGGTCCACAAAACAAAATAATATATAGTCTAATACAGATTTTAAAGGGAACATTACCTCTTCAGAGCCATTATTTGAACTCAATGCATCAACAGACGTACTTTGCGTATCGTCATTTTTCTGTTTTTTACTGCATTCCTGAAACAAAACATAAAACGCGTGCATTATGCAAAGCCTGCTCACCATTCTGTAAAAACACTTCTGCCGAGCTGTTCCCATCATTAACCACCGGCAGAGTTATTTACAGCGTTTTAGAACACGCGCAAGACAAAGTGCAATTCCTACGATGGAAATCATTTCCGTGGAATCGCCCTGCTTCATCGGTTTGCGAGCTCTGGGCGGTTCGGGGCTGCCGAGGGCAAGCCGCACGCCGGCGACAGCGCGCCGCTCCGTGACCTTGGGGCCGGCGGGGCTCCGAGCCCGTCCCCGCCGGCGGCATCCCCCCAGCCGGGGGGCGGGCAGGACCCGGCCGCCGCACTCACCTTCTTGCTGCAGTTCTCGCACTTCATTTGCGGCTGCCGCGCGGAGCCGGCCGCCGGGGCTGCGGGACAGGAGAGAGCGGGGCGGTGAGAGCCGCAGCGGCAGCGCCAGCCCGCCGCCCTCCGCCGGTCCCCGCCGCCGTCCCTCGGTCCCCGCCGCCGTCCCCCGGTCCCCGCCGCCGTCCCCCGGTCCCCGCCGCCCTTTGTGGCCGCGCCCGCCCCGCCGGGCGGTCCCGGGGCGGCGCTGGCCGAGCCCCGCGGGGAAGGCGCTCCCGCACCCCGCACCGAGGTAACGGGAGAACGGGCGGGCACGAGCCGCGGCTCCACAGGGAAAAAAAATAAATAAATAAAATAACGACAACCGAAAGGCCCAAGGAAGCCTGCCGGGGGGTAGCGGGGCGCAGCGCCGGCCCCGTACCTGCCGCCGGGGCTGCGCCTGTGGCCGCAGAGCGGGCGGGGCGGCGCCGCCTCCCCCGCCGCCTCCCCCGGCCGCGCCCGCCGGGCTCATTGCGGACCTGCGCCGCCGCACGTACGCGGAGGGACGCCCCCATCCCCATCCCCAAACCATCCCATCCCCATCCCCA